AATTTTGTGACGTCGAGCGTTACAGACACCCCTACTTCGATTTTCAGACAAGGGGGGAAAAGGCCAGGCTGCTCGCTAGACGGGTCCCGATCTCCGTTTCGCGAAACAGCCGGCCTGATACCTCTCGATTGGGTTCGGCGTGCAAATGCCGACAACTGCAACTAGAAAGTGCAGCAGCAGGCAGGTTGCTGCCGATGTCAGACTGGTGAGGTGCTTACGTGTTGAAGAGAATTTAATCTACCCTGAACTCACCCGAAAGCCTCAGATCTCAAGCATAAACAAAAGCACCTCACCAAACTCTGTCCCAATCGAAGGGCATCGCACGGAAGAGCCATAACTGTAGCTCTTCCGTCAGAATTTAACAACACGTTAATACTTTATTCATCCCTCACTCTTCGCAGAGAGTAATGAGGGTTTTGCGACAAATACATCACCGCACTGTATAATATCACAACATGATATCACATTATCACAAAATTCTCGAAATCTTCTCGCATCGTCCAGTCTTCAACAGGATGATCCTCACCAACATTGAATATTCTAAAAAATTACTGTTCTTTCAATTGGATATTTTCTAAAATACCCACGTTATGTAAATCTATCTGAGCTATTCCTATTCCCCATTTTTTACTAATCGTAAGAGACGTTGTCAGAGGTGCATTCTCATTGTATCACGTTTTCGTTTTCCTTTCGAAGTTGCAAGCTACTTTCTTCAAAATTGCGTTAGAGTGCTCCTTGTCCTCCTCAACGAAGATTCCCCGACGTAACCTTCCCACCTTCCCCTCCTCCTCTTCCTAATTTCTAATACATTGAGAATGACAGATTATTATTTCTCAGCCCACACTGAATGATTCAAAAACTCAAAACTAGACCTGGAATATAATCCAGAGACAAAATGCCAATGGTTTCAAGGTTCGATCCCTGCTCTACCACGCGGAAATATAGAACACTACCGCTAGCCTACGACGCATCTGTCATGCATGCTCACTATGAGATAGACAAAAATGGATTCTGAAAAATTACCAACTCTTCCACCCTCCTCCTACCATTCTTCGACTCCTATAACAGCCGGGATGGCAGATTATCATTTCTCACAGTACACTGTAGTGCTTAAAAAACTCAAAGCTACACTTGAAATTAAATTAGAAAACAGAAAGTCAAATGTTCAATTACAGGATCCGAACCGCTGTAAGCTACGTAAAAGCCGAGGACCCTACCACTACGCTATGAAACATCCACAAGTACTTCTTCTCACGGAACAGACAAAATTAAATTCTAATGAAACTGCAATTCTTCCACTACCCTTCCCATCCGAACAGCACATTTTTTAATGTAAAACTATATTTAACAAAGAATGAGCATGTGATTTTGAAAAAATGCATAAATGAAAGAGAAGAAAATCGACAATCTGAAATCGAAAGCGCCGTAAAACAATTCTGAGCCTAATTCAAAACTGAAGTTTGAACCCACGTTTCATTACTAAAACATAGGCGATTATCACTACGTCAAAGTGCACCTTAAGTTTGCGCATACGACGCACCATATAAAAATGGATACTTGATAAAACTGTCGATTATCTCCTCCCATTTCGTCCGAATTGCACAATTCTCTTCGAAAAGTACATTATCTACTATTCTTACTTTCAAAAAAAGGAACACAAACATATCCAAAATAGAAGAAAAACTGAGAAAACAAACACTGAATACAAAATAATATAACAGTAGATAACAATTACTTCTTGACGATGTCATCGCTACAGCCGTCCACAGATTGACCCACCACAGTCCTCCTCCTGGACATAACGTGCGCTCAATACTCATGGTCGATTCCAGCACAATCGATAGAATGAAATTTTCAATCAAGATCACACGTAATGAAATCACATGATTGGATTCAAACAGAAACAAAATTTCAGAATGTGCAACAAGCCTCAAAAACCTAAAGCTCAACATTTAAAAAAATTCAGAAATATCAAAAACTTCACAAGCCGGGAACGAACCACGGCCTTCCACGATTGAACTGAGAGCACCACCAACCACCTGAAGGCGCTATTTGAAATGAAGTAAACGAAAATAGATTCGAAAAAAAAGCCTTTTCTTAGAGCCTTTCCTTTTCTCGAACTATCGAGGATGGCAGAGTAATATATCTCAGGATGTACCATAGGCCTCAAAAACCCAAACCTAGACGTAAAATAAAATTCAGAAAGAAAATACTAAAGATTTCGCAAACGGGAGACGAACCAAGGCCTTCTGCTCCAAAACTCGGGGCACTACCACTATACTACGGCGCACTTACAGCACTTCCCTCGTGTGGAATAGACGAAAATACATTCCGAAAAAAAGTCAAACTTCCCTCCCTCTCTTCCCTTTTTAGAAACAGCGATGAGAGCAGATTGATACCTTTCAGAATATGCAATAAGCCTCAAAAAACCAAAGCTCAACAGTTAAAAAAATTCAGAAAGAAAATATCAGAAACTTCACAAACAGAGAACGAACCATGGCCTCCCAGGTTCAAACTGAGAGCACTACCACTGTGCTACAAACCATCTGAAGATGTTATTTGAAATGAAATATACGAAATTAGATTTGAAAAAAGCCACTTCCTAGCGCCCTTCCTTTTTCTTTCGAAATATCGGGGATGGCAGATTAATATATCTCAGGATGTACCACAGGCCTCAAAAACCCAAACTTAGACCTAAAATAAAATTCAGAATGAAAATACCAAAGATTTTGCGAACTGGAGACGAACCAAGGCCTTCTGCTCCAAAACTCGGGACACTACCACTATGCTATGACGTACTTACAGCACCTCCCTCGTATGCAATAGACGAAAATACATTCCGAAAAAAGTCAAACATCCCTTCCTCTTTTCCCTTTTTCGAAACAGCAGGGAGGGCAGATTGATACCTCCTCGAATGTGCCATAAGCCATAAAAGCCCACAGCTTAACATCAAATAAAATTCAGAAAAAGTATGAAAATTTTCGCAACCGGGGAACGAACCATGGTTTTCCTTTCCGAAACATGAAATACTACCATTCTGCTACGACACATCTGCAAATACTACTTGCTATGAAATGAGCGAAAGTGAATTCAGAAAAAAATGCCAATTTCCCCTCCCTTTTCCTTTTCTCTAATATTTGCAATAGTGACGGAAAATTCTCATAATATTCCGTAAGCTCACAATTCTAAGCCTATTACAACAACCCAAAGCTAGACATAAAATAAAATTATGAAAAAAAATGAAAATTCTCTTAAACATTATACGAACCCTGACCTGCCGAGCGAAAACTCAGGATACTACCACTGCGCTACGACGAGCCTAAAAGAATCCCTCGCCATGACGTAGGAGAAAATGAATTCTGAAAAAAAAAATCATTACTCCTTAACTTGTCTGTTTCATTTTTATCCTCTTCGTTATACCTATTCTAAGGGACTGATCTTAAAACGAACCAACTTCCCACCATTGCAAAGAAATAACTGAAACTGTGGCAAATCAACAAAGATCGCAAATTGTAATTTTGAATTCAAATTTCATGACGATTATTTAAACATACGACATCGACAATCCTTCGGTTGCTGGTCCGGTATTTCCTTCCCAACACATTTTTCCAATTCAATAATAATCATCACGTAATTTTCATCGCAATCAATTTTTGCTGCAACAAAAAATGAAGAAAAAAAATTATTGTAAACCCCAAAGTTTTAGATGTTTAACTAGCTTCTGAAAAGAATTGCTGATTTCTCGTGTTTGTAATAAAATCTCCAATCTCCCTAGCTAAAGCAGACATGGAACATTTTGCAAAAATTCAACACGCAACTCATAACATCGATCATTATGTTAACAATAAATTAAGAAAAACCAGAACAATAATGATGATATGAACAATATAAAACATACAAAACAAGGAAGTATACCAAATAAATGCGGTCAAAAGCCGCGATGTGGACTGCCGCTTGTAGTGTGCGGCTGTCAAGGTTCACTGATTGGGCATTTTGAATTCCCCTTTCCCAACCGAACTGACAATGAGTTCTACCTGAAACCAAAACCGATTCGTTATTCTCACTCTTAGCATCGCTTGTTTGTCTGAACTCTCCTGTAATCACCATCACACGAATGAAAACAACAGAAATACGAGGACTAACGGATAAGAGCATACCATGAAATTAAGTGTTGATGCCGAAAACTGCGGCATGCGTAGTCCACGTTGCAGTGATACTTTTGACTTTGTGGCGGTCTTTATCCTTTTTTTT